GCATCAGTACATTCTGCAAGTTTGAGAAGAATGTGTACTATTTGCGGCAGTCTGTCGCATGCTGCTTTAACAGCTACCCACCTACAGCACCATCGTATTTCCCTTAGTGACTTTACTGCCATACCTTCGTCATTCTTTTTTTTTTGTAATTCTTGAGACAGCACGACGCTTTAGACTTCCCTCAATAAAGTTGTAGAGGCTCTGCTACTCACATTCACTCAGATTTTAGATTTGACACCTAATCCAGACATCCAGTGTCATGGGGCGGGGGCAGATCACCAATGAAGAGCTCTGCTCTCATTTAACATAAGTATTTTTAAATCCTTTAAATTGTGACTCCTACCGACATGAAAATGTTGTTGTTTTTCTGCCCCTTCGAACTATGACCACCTCACATACACACTAAAAAAATTCTCACAACGAAACCGCAGACATCGACAAACTTATAAAAACAGTTGGATTTGTTCACTCAATCCTGGTAATCTGACTCGAACAGTAGAGCCTGCATAATAATGGCTGGAGACGGCTGAAAGTGGGTTCCTCGTCATTGGGTAGAGCATGCAGGTACTGTGCTGCTACTCAAAATGTCAACTAAGAAACCGTAGAATAGGGTGAAACTTCAACATTTCATCACTAGATAGCAAGTAAAATATAATCAGCAGCAATGATGTAAAATAATATTCATTTAATTACTCAACGGTAGATATGATTTAAGAACAAAAAGTGCGGTTCACTTCAATTTAGAAATAAAGAAAAAACAGAATTTTTAATTTCAGTACTATTTCGTAAACTTTGCTTTCAAACTGTATAAATGACTTATGCGTTATAACAATCGTCTTTACAATCATTTATCGTGGGGGAGGATATGTAGGAGCTGTGTCTACCATTACAAGGCCTGCTAAATACTATCATATGAATGACATCATTCTTAATATTATATAAGTATAACTATTCCAATTAAGATTTGAACTTAATTATATTTTGAAAATGCACAAATATAGTGAAAACGAGATTAACACACTACATAAATACACATGTAGAAGTGTAATAGTATATAATACATTACTTGAGAAGAAATTAGTTACTGTGTTTCAGTATTAAATATAGCCTTTGAAGCGTTATATATATACATATATTATTGTAATTTTCAGCTCTCAGATTTAACCTCAGGGTAGTCAGTTAAGGCTCGATAACATGAGATTCAAGGAAATTAAGTCAGAGGTTATTTCTCCAGAATTCTTCACACAAAAAGAGATGGTAACGGTACATAAATGCACAGTTGAAACAAAAATATTGACCATACGCTAAAACAAAACATGATACAATATAAAAGAGAAAGTGTGCCCAGTGAATATGTGAACCAACAAGAGATACGTAAAAAAATCTTGAATAGTTTCTCTTTCTAGTTCAGTGTGCTCTCCACTGTAAGCTACACAGTGAGCCTACACTAAAAGTAAAGTGTAAAAGCAAAGTAGATTGAAAAACAGCTCTGACAAGTTAGGATACACTATAATTTATGGATAATCCCCACTAGACGCACTCTGTTATGTCACAATGTAATCATTCTGTCCTATATTTCAGATAAGGACCTGAGTGATGATCTCAGGCATTCATAAATTCTGTTTGTCCACTAAGGAATTATTAAATGTTATATAGGAGATGAGCGACGGACATAAACACTCTCTACTGAAGCACCATTATCAACCTACTCCTGGTCAAGTATTCCCCCAATCAGCAGTAAAACTGGAGGGATGCTACAGAAGTTTTAGGCGCAAATAGTTGACATATTTACTATGGATGGTGTACAGTCCTAAAGTCGATGGTGCATTCTGCATTTTCTGTGTTTTCTTTGTCGAACGAAAAGGTATGGAGTCCTTGTTGATAAATTTTCCACTGAGTGGCAAAAAATCAAACAGATGTGACCAACATGCCATCAAGGAACAACAGAGACTGGCAGAGGAAGCTGCTATATTTGATAGAAAATCCGGAGCAAGATATTACTGTGATGCTAAACAAGTAGGAGTCAGACAACATAAATTTAAAATTAATTCAAAATCAGTTTTAGCTATATATGTAAAAAAAAAATGACAATATGGCTTAAAATCTCTCTAAGATATGCTATTTATCAAGGTTAAAGGAATGAATACACTGTCTAGCTATATTAACGTAACAAAAAAACAACGATTATGTACTGTATAGACTATGTATGATATTGTTGCGTCAGCGAGGTCACGTGACTAGTATCACGTCACGTCCTTCTCGAACCTTCTTGAATTGTCGGGAGACTACTAGATTGGGGGTAGTGTTGTATATATAAGACGGTCATAAAGTGACGGCAACGATGTGTGTCTAATTGAACTGAGTATTGTTGAGGCGGGCAGGTGAGACGTTCGTTGAGAATTATAGCGTTTGTTATAGAGCGACTGTTGAAATTAA